CATCCAGTTACCAAGGCAAGGAAAGACTAATAACTGCTTCTTTCTGAACACATAGATCAGGTTTCAAGCGTTTGATAGAAATCGCTTCAGTAAACTTAAGGAGAATTGAGCTATTTCGCCTGTTGATAATTTTGAACGACTTTTCGACGTCCACCTCATGACCCGTGTCGAGGAGATGCCTGGCTATGGCACTGTTTAGAGCATTTGTTCCCTTTATTTGGGCTGTAAGCAGCTGATGAGAAGCCAACGAAATAAATGATGGTACCACATTATTCTGCTAAAACTGTAGTTTTTGCTTTGTTCAAATTCATTAAGGGAAATAAATGTATGAAATTTCTGAAAAAACACAAAGAACAAGTCCTCCTGAGACCCATACTTTCGATGATCAGCTCGCCTCAACATAAGGTGGCACGTTGGCTTGCGGAGAAGTTGGAACCTATTCGTCAACGGCTAGGCTTGCACATGGTGAAAGACTCATTTCATTTCTCTGAAAGTGTGAACCACATGAACGTTCTAAATAAATTCATGGTGTCATTTGATGTAACCTCCCTATTCACAATGATTCCAATCAATGAAACTTTTGAGATCATTTGTCAGCAGTCCAATCTTCTCCCACACCCAGAATCGGAATTCAAACGCCTACTGCTTATGTGTACCATGGATGTGCAATTCCAATTCGACAACACGTTTTACCGCCAAATAAATGGTGTAGCTATGGGCAGTCCACTTAGCCCTGTTCTAGCAGATATATTCATGTCTAACCTTGAAAGAACAAAGCTGAAGCATGCAATCGACGAAACATCTTCCTACTGTCGTTATGTTGATGACACATTTATAGTGTGCAAAAATAAAAGTCATGCTTCCCACTTACTAAGATTATTCAATGGTGCACACGCCAATATTGACTTCACTATGGAACATGAAAGTGACGGAAAGTTTCACTTCCTCGACGTCGCCATGGAACGCCTAGAAGACGGTAGTCTTCAAAAGTCAATTTATCGAAAGCCCACATGGAAAGGACAATACTTGCATTTTAACAGCTTTTGTCCTAATAGCTTTAAACGGGATCTAGTCAAGACTCTGTACTATAGAGCGAGGAGAATATGCTCTGTAGAGAAATTAGAGGAGGAGTTTGAGTTCCTTGAAAAGATAATGAAGAGAAATGGGTATCCTCAAAAGTTCATCAACAAGTATGGAAGATCTGAAGTCACAAGTGTAAAACAAATCACATTGAGTAAAAAGCCAGTCTACGTTCAGCTTGGCTATAAAGGTGAAAACATTGCAGCGATGGTCAACAGAAGGCTGAGTACACTACTAGCCATAGCCTATCCTGCAGCCAAGCTCGTTCCCGTCTATCGAACAACTTGCTCTTTGGTGCAATCAAAAATCGATAGATATCCTTCTCATGTTACAGCCAACTGCATATACAAATTTACATGTATCTGTGGGAGTAGTTACATTGAAAGGACAGAAAGAAGGGTATATCTACGATTTTCTGAACACGTACCAAAAAGCTTACGTCTAAAGGGAACAAATGCTTTAAACAGTGCCATAGCCAGGCATCTCCTCGACACGGGTCATGAGGTGGACGTCGAAAAGTCGTTCAAAATTATCAACAGGCGAAATAGCTCAATTCTCCTTAAGTTTACTGAAGCGATTTCTATCAAACGCTTGAAACCTGATCTATGTGTTCAGAAAGAAGCAGTTATTAGTCTTTCCTTGCCTTGGTAACTGGATGTCTTTTTTTCTCTCATCTGATTACGTAATCTTTGTCTTTAACCTCATCCAGCAGCTGATGAGAAGCCAACGAAATAAATGATGGTACCACATTATTCTGCTAAAACTGTAGTTTTAGATGAAATCCTCCAACTAATTAAGGGAACTCTTTTGACATTCACAGTGGTTATAAGGGCAACTATATATAAATGTGAAGCGAAGTTATAAATTAACAGAAATATTGACAACGATGTAATAATGATAAAGAGATTAAAAAGAGGCATTTACTCACTGTTTCGCATTCAGTTAATAATCTTATACCTAACACATTTTTCATCACAGAAAATAAGTGTCGAAATAAGATATCGCCAAGTTCTTATATGTACTGGTGACAGCATAAAGTCTTATATAATTGCTTCCTAGCTCTTCCTAAGGAAATGCAAGGACAGAGTTGTAAATAAAAAGGGTGCTGACAATCCAATAAGATGACTACACCAATTTTCTTCTCTTCGCTTTAAGTGTTAGTTCAAAAGACCTCTAAAGAGTTGAATTGGGACATACCACTAGCCTTATCAAAACGAAAATTTCAGGTGATTATCCAGAATTAGTTCCATAGAAATCAGTAAACTATCGTGAAAATTGGTACTGAAGTGTAACGGAATGATTGTTTGAAAAATCCCCTCCTGAACTATCTAATTACGATGTTTGCAATTAATTTAAATGTTTTGACTAACTTTCTTCTGGACTGTAGTATATCAATATTTAGACATTTGCATAACCTATTTTGAATTGATCCTTATTATTTGTCTGTGTTCCTGTAAAATCTCTAATCTGAAAGCTTCTCTTTGGGGTGGTTTTAAGATGTGATTTTGTCTCAGTAAATGAAGTTCATGCTGACCTTCCTGTCTTCAGGAAGTATTGGTGTATGATTCTTGTCGACAGAGTCTTGACTGCATCATGTTGGGAATATTCTACTTCATTCTACAGTACTCGCTTTGTACTTAGAAAATAACCCTGTCACTATAGCTGCCTGACGGCACTGTTAAGTTTGATTCGAGTTTGAGTTTTCGATGTTGTTACTGATCAGTAGGACTGCTTAACTATTCAAGAATAAACTTGAACAAAGCAAGAACAACAACTGTAGCAGGATAATATGAGCTCATCTTTTATTATTTTGAGGATTATTCTCAACTGGTTACAACCTGAACGATAAAAAATATGTATGTATTACATTAAAGATATGAACATACTTTTCCACGATCACAGGGAGTAATTGGTAGGAATTAAAAGCAACATTAGTCCGGAATGATTTAACTGATTACAAACACTGACTGTTTACAGAATAATTAGACAATTAGGCTTGGAAACAAAAAAACAGGGTTGCGTATATTTGTGTGTGTATAGAAACAAGGTTTAGCTATAAAAAGCATAACTAAAAAAGTAGATTACGTAACTAAAGAAAACATCTTATCTAATAGCCAGTAGAAAAAAGGACAGAAAAGAAACAAGCTAGGGTGAGTCATGTTTAGATGAGAGAGTAGAGTTTTCTAAACATGAAAAAGGTGATTCGTGGAAGTTGTATATTTTTTGTTATGACCACGGCAGTGCAAGATTCACCACTGTCTCTTTCTGCGTACATAGATTTCGTTTAAGTCTTTTTATAGCAATTGCTTCAGCAAAGCGTAGCAAGCTAGGTTTCTTTTGCTTGTTGATTATTTTGAACGACTTCAGGTTGTCTACAATATGACCAGTGTCCAATAGATGATAAGCAATCGCACTGTTTAATGCTTGAGGACCTTTCAGTCTCAGGTTCTTTGGTATGTGTTTATAAATGTGGACACTAACTCTTCTGTCTGTTCTTCCAATGTATGTGCTTTGGCACGTACATGTAGATTGGTAGACACAGATGGAGGTAACATGAGGTGGGTATTTGTCCACTTTCGATTGTCTCAAGAATAATCGGCCTTTTTGCTGTCTTTGCAGCAGAGATCGGTTTCCACAACAAGTCGGTTTTAGTGGTAACATTAAGACAAGGAAGTCGTAACACATAGGGCAGTTAATGATGAATAACGAGTAGAAAAGTGTTATTCTAGCTCAATCAAAAAGATACGATATTCACTGGGAGACTAAAACGAGACTTATTTTCTTCCTGGCTTGAGAATAAGGCAAAAACTTGCTGAGTTCAACTCAGTTATTTCAAACTAACACATGTGTAAAACTTGGGTTCTGCGGTAGTATGCTATTCCATATTAATTTGTTTATTAGGTATATCACGTAGTGAAACAGTATTATTTACTGGATGAAGAAGATTCGAGCACAATTTATTGTTCATAATTATATCATCAGTTGTTAATACAAAACTTCGACTCTCCCGTTTTATGCTCAGTTCGGTTTTAGATTTTCACGTCTATCGATTGGACCGAAAGTCTTAGTCTCAGGTTAACATGTCCGCTCCTTATGCAGATGCTTCGATGACATCTGGTCATGTAACCTGAAGTCAGTTGGTGGACGATGACTAGCACTGGAATCTAGGATGCGCATTTCGTCCTATTTTGGACTAGTTATCAGGATACACCTGCATTCCTCACTGAGTGATGGTGCTCTCATCGAGGCTTGAACCCGATGCCCTGCCGGTTCAAGATGTCTAGTGTATAGCGCTTTTGCGTTCGAAACTGTGGTCATTAGGTTCAAGCCTCGGTGGGGGCACCCTCACTCACTGGGGAGAGCAGGTAGATCCAGACGACGGGTTTCAGGTAGGACGAAATGCCCATCCTGTATTCCACTGCTAGTCACCGTCTACCAGGTGACGTGCATTTTATAGTTTTCTCTAATCCTTCCTATTTGTCTTAGGGATTTCACCTTTAAATCTATAGTTTCGCGTCAGTCAATTTTATGAAATATCCTGAACCAGTAGTTATTTCTAAAAATTTAAAAATTTCTTCGTGATGAAGTTGCTAAAACAAAATTTCCATTTCACTGTACTGTTTTAAAATCAACCTTTTAATTCTTTCTCATTCTTGATGAATTAAACATTAGCATAGCATGAAATTACAGTTAAATATTCGCTTCAGAATTCATCATCTCACTGCTTACGACACTCTGTTAGCAAGTGGCCTATTCATTTCCAAAAACACAGTAGTAATAAAAATTTGCTTAGCTAGAGCGAATCACATTCAAAACGGTCAGTCTGTTATTTATTAAAATGTGTATTTCCGTAGAAAATCATCTTCTTCTTTGTTTAAACAGATTTCGGTTTTTTTTCCCTCCAATTTTTCCTTTCGTAGACTGAAGAAACTGGTGCGTCTTCTGTGGATCACAGAATCACTAATAATTATATAAACGTGGATTGTTTACATAATGGTGAGTGAATGAGTAAAACCTCGTTTGACTTACAGTGTACAAATCGGGTGTGGTTTGGTTTATTTTCATACTACCTATTTGAATAGTGTACTTTAATTGATTAACTCCCAGAATACGAGTAGTATTTTTTTAAACGCCTATTGAGAGTTCAGCATTCAATTGTTGTTTGTTAACAAAACTTCTACCCGCTACTTCTTTGAATTTCCTCTTTTGATGGGAAAGTTAAATTTTTGGGCATTTCTAACAACATGGAAAATAACGGAAACTAATTTACAGATTCTATGTGACTATCATCATACAGTATACTTGTTTTTAACGTTAAACTTAAATAATTTTTTTAGTCTTAGGAGTCTGACATCATATTTCAACATTTTGAGAGCTGAAACTGAATCCCAAGATTAGCAAAGGTCAAATGTGTGAACACATCGTTTGTCACTACCTCTGTTTTATCCAAATACTGCACCCCAATTTTTTCATGGAAAGTTAGAATATTGCTTTATTACAGTATAATAAAACTGAAAATAAACAAAATTATAAGGGATTTTATTTATCATGAGTTGGCATCGGTTAGAAGACCATAGGGTGCGTCGGTGGTATAGCGGTTAGGACGCTCACCGACCATGCATATGGTCCGGGGTTCGATCCCCGGCCACTGGCGCACTCCTTTACCTCACTAAGCCAGAAATAATGCTGGTAAAGAGGAAAGGTTGGGCATGAGGCTAGCAACCATATCCTGTAAAAATTAAACACTGCCACAGAAACTTCAAGCCACTAGCTTGAAGTCCTATGTTCCACTGGGAACGTGAAGGAAAAATTAAATTAATTAAATTAAAGAAGACCATAGAAAAACCTGGGAGTACTGGATATCTGTTTTACATCTGAGGTCCTACTCAGGATTCTCAACAAAGCAAGAGTTAGAGTGGCGTTCAAACTCAAAAACCTCACTCAGGAACAAGCTGTGTAGGCTAAAATACTCGGTGGACCCAATTAAACAAAATGATGTAATTTACACAATATCTTACAATGACTGTGAGTTAAGTCAACTACACAGATCAACCTAGTTGATCAGGTGTAGTGAGATTATCAGAACATATGAATTTAGCTAGGGTTAAAATGATTAATCCCACTCGCGAAGATAAATAATTTAGAAAAGAGCACTCAGCAATTGAACTGTATGCATTAACACACAACCACACAATAGCATGGTGGGAGAGGGTTAAGATTCTAAGAAGTAATACAGGTAGGTGGAGAGCGAGAGAGACTGATTGCTGAATCTTTATTCATCGAATCTACACCCAACACATGCAACAGAAATGGCTCAATCCAAAAAACAGAGATATGGAAGATATTATTATCACCAGTCAGTCAAATCAGAAGAGGATAATAAATAATGTTAAAATGTATTCAATTCACATAGATTATGACATTCCAACAAATTACTCATTTTGACTATAGAAAACATCTTATTTCCCATCTGACTGTATTTGACTGATAACAATCATATTATTATTTCTGAAGGTACTTTATCCTATATTGTTGATTTTATTCATATGTCTAATCAGTTTTATTCATGTATATAAATGGAGCAAAACGCTGTGTGAGTAACTCGATATGATTATGAGCAGTAATAAATTGTGCTCGAAACGTGGTCATCAGTTAATATTACTGTATAACACCACTGTGTGACAGTTTATCAAAATAAAATCTTATCCATAATGACTATATAGCATTTGGAATAAACATATCTGCCTACCTGTAGTCGGTTCTCATGTTCTAATGGAAACACTCGAGAATAAAACCTTCGAAGGAAATCTTGAAAGTTAATTATTTTTTTTTTAATATCCGGTCTTAAAGTTAACATTTCTTTTTTTCATCATTTCATTCATACAATGTGTTTTTAGTCGAGAATGCACAATGTTCACCAGAACACAACTCAGAATTCTTGAATAATTTTCAGTTCAATGATGTGCCATCAGGACGAATTCCAGTCAGTAAACACGACAACTCACATTCCACTCCCCTAATGTCAAACAGAATGACAGAAAATGCATCTGACACTGGAAAGAAGCCCGGCAGCCGTAGAAACGACAGAGAAAAATTATGCTGGTGGTTAGGAAAGTCGCCTAAACAAATAAGAAAGCGATTGAAAGCTAGTCTAGGCAAAAAGTCAACCAGAACTAGTACTGTAGCTTCATCTGTTCCAACTCAATTCAACCCTGGTTATTTATCAGCGTATGACTTCGCTGAAATTATTGGTAAAAAAGATTTTTTCTCTGAAAATTTACTTTTTGATTGTCGCTGGGAGAGTTCTTCAAATTCACTACTATACATTCATTCAATTCTCAATGCAATTCGTGTAAATCATCTTTATAATGTTCATGTGCCTACAACCTACTGGGAATCAATGCTGAAATCCAGGATAAATTTTAGTCAACCACAACCATCATCAGAACAAATTTTCATCATTCTCATTGTGGATAAAACCAACTCACCTTGGAAGACAAGAATTCAACAAACACTTCAGCACTTAGTGCACAAACTCACTGAAGAGAATACTTCAGAGAGTCCAAATGAGTCATCTTCAAAGCCTGGCACTGTAAACTACTTTAAGTATTTTGAAATTCTCATCTCAGAAATTACAAATGATTTACCCTGGTTACTAAATCCTAAAATATATTCCAATGGACAAAATATCCTGGAGCTAAGACCTCCATTATCTACTTTAAACAATCATTTATGGTACCTAGAGCCACACAGCTGGAAACACCTCTCCGAATTCTCTCCATCCTATATTACTTCACTAATCAATAATAAAAAAGTTGATTGCATCCTTGTAATTACTTACAATGCACAGAAAGATCTGCGCCGTGTTGCTTCACTGAAATTAAGGATACCCTATTTGCTTGTTGATACAGCTAGTATATTAAACGAGTGTAAAGTCCTCTCGAAATTTGAACAAATACTAAATTTCCTCAATAATCCAATCGAGTATATCAGACAAGGACCTAATTTCAAAACATTTCCAGCATTTTCTCAAGCGTTTTGTTCAACAGATAATCAAACATGTGTTAATAATATCTTGATCACAGGCTCCAATGCACCAGCGTGTTTGACTATTCTTGTTGGATTAATCATGATAACGTGTCCGTGTCAATTGAATGCAGCTATTGAGCAATTTTTCGCTTACCATGACTATTCAAATCAGTTGACTGAAGAATATTTGAAAATATTAACATTACTAAATAATTACCTGTTAAATTTAACCCAAAAAAGCAATAAAAAAGATTTAAGAAAACTGAAACATTGTAGCCTTTCTAGTCGTATACATGATGAAGGCCGAATTTCATCAAATCGTCTGTTGTTGAACCTTGAAGAAAACAAAACGAATGATCATCAGCTTCGATGTCACCGCTGCGACAGCGAAGAAGGGAAGGAGTTAGAAGAGGAAGAAGAAAAGATTGATAACCAACAACAAGATGATGTTATCCCTTTTCGTCTTCCTACTCCTGATGTCATTAGTGAAGAAATGATGCATCAATTAGAGCAATTCAAAATTAGAGCTTAAAAGTGAGCACTTTTCATATTCCCCCTTCCTTTATACCTGCACAACTCTTAAATCATTTCTGCAATATATTTATTGAAGGAAGTATGGCACAGTCAATGACTATACTTGAAAGCTGAAATTAACTCTGTTATTAGCCAAGAAATTCGGGCAAACTGCAATGTTTTTCACATGAAATTATCATGATATTGTGGTCTTAGCAAAACTTTAACACTCTGTAATATTTTAAAAGCTAAATTTCCCTTCAACAATTTTAAAGTTTGAGAACTTCAAAGTGTTCTCAATGTCCTTTTTCAGCATAATCATTAAGAGTCTGCCTTCTTCTTCAAATAGTCTTTCACTGACTATGTTCAGCGAACGGCATACTCATACAGTGTTTTTCTATTGTGCGCCAAATAAAATCTTTTTGAAGTAATGCGTTTTCTTTATGAATTTTGATAGGAGATTAAGAAAACATAATTTATCCAAGACGTTTAATCAAAACGGCGTAAAACGTTCGGCAATTCCTAATCACAAATATTTGTCTAATTTTTCCTTGTCTGGCTTTGTGAGAACTGGTTTGGTTGAGAAACTAAGTACAAGTTTAGTTGAAGGGAGTGTCTGCGAAAATTTCACCTTGGTGACTTGTGAAATAATTTTTATTTATATTACATTATTATCTCTTTGGGTTCCATATGGAAAATAAGGCTTCAAGAGCAAATTGCTGTTTTGTCCTCATCAATTAGCCCCACAATTTGCTATAAGCTTTCATCTCCTTTTCACACGGTCTCCTCCATGTCACCCTCAGCCACCCAACTCACTGTTTCCCATTCTGGTTCCACTCGAGGGCCTGGTGCACGATAACATAGAACGGTCTCCTCAACGTGTGTCTGATCCCATGGGCATAGAAACTTCAAAGAGCTCAAAAACGTTTGCATATCTACCGTACATATCTCTATCCTATCTCTAAATGTAGACATCTACTTTTCTAAACAGCCTTATTGTAATGTTTTAGCCTCAGTTTACACATTTTTTACGAATACATTCATCTGAACATAAACGTCTTATGCTGCAGCTTAGGCGCTTAAATAAATTCTTCTTGTAATAAGGCGGTGTGAAACTACATAATATTGTAGACTTCTCTCTGAAGATCCGGAATGATGATTTGCGTTCATACTTCCTATCAAATAAGCCAAACCTTTGAGCTACGCATAAAAATCCACAATACAGGAATTGGGTAAAATACAGCAGTGTCTTACACTGAACAGTGACGAAGAGAATTTGCAAACCTGAAATTGTGAACTACCTAAGCGGAATGCCGTCAAAATTACTGTCACTGAGGGTTTATAAGAAAACAGCAGAGATGTGTTTAGAAAACGATCCAGAATCAGAGAAAAACTGCGCTGAAATATACAAATCAAGACTGAAAACTTTCAGACAAAATATATTCAACAGAGAACGGAACATAAAGAAAATGTTTACCGGAAATATGGTTTTACCATAGGAAGATAATTAAAACAAATTGAATGTTGACACATCAAATGAGATAAGTTTTGGTGGGAATTACTAATTGTATAATAATTAAATGCCCAGACATCGTCGAGGCATCTGCACAAGAAGCCGACATGTGAACCTGAGACCGAGCATTTCGGTCCAATCAATCGACGGGAAAATCAAAAATTCAATTCAATAATTACTAATTAGGTTTATAAAATTATGATATAGTTATTAGGATTTAAATTCATACTACTTATTGCTGATAATAAGTAGTATGGATTCAACTAAAAGAAAACTGTGACAAATGAGAAGTATATATATAACACAGCCATCTGATAAATTTGACTAAGGTATTTAGAAGACTAATTTCACGAGATGATGTCATCATTTCGTAGTTGCTCTACTATCGCTTTACAACTAACATGGTTCACAATAATAAAATAAAATGCATGACAATTACTCACATATAAAACAAAAGGATATACGGATGAACGATCATATTTAAACCTTACAAACCAAACTGTAGGATATTAATCTGATGCTAGCTAGTGACTTTCCACAAGATGGAGTTTCTTGGAGTTCTAGTGAGAAGACGTGACCAGCGAGGTTCATCCAGTAAATTTTGGGGAAGGATGTCCCACTGATGATATTGATTGATTGGTGGTGGCGCCGAATCACGAATTGGTAGGAGTTAGAATTCATGGGTTGGCCGTTGAATTGGATCCCAGCGGCTGAATTGTCTACGAGCTAGCTTGCCTTGTAACCGGAAGGTCCTGGGTTCGAACCCTATTGGTGATTGCGTACTTCCGATGATCCGCAAACTAGGATGAGACAGTTGTCCAGTACTCCCTGGTTTTCAATGGTTCTCCAACTGATATCATTCTGTGTTCAACTCGTAAAAAAAAACTAATCCTTACAAACCAAATTATAGAATATTTAGAAAAGTCAAGTATACTTGCCAGGGTAGCCGAAGGCTGAAGTCCGTTGCTTTTTGTACACATAGTTTAGGATGTATGTGATTAATCTCCAAAGTGCTTCCATCACCTTTAATAACCTTGAATTAGAGTTGTGTGATGAAGTAACTGTGAAGCAGTCATTAATATTGATTTTGTGACCTGACATTAATAAGTGCTTTGCAATGGATGATGACGAATTTCTATTCAGATGAATAATTGCATTGGGATTTTCTGTGTGTTTGAACAACCATTTTGGAAGATGTTCTTTTCGACGATATTGGAACATTTTATTGGTTCTACCCATATAGGTGTGTATCACCGCAACTGCAGGTGAACTTGTAGACACAGTTTGAAGTAGAATCCACAGAATTTCACCCTTTAATCATAGGTACAGGGATCAAAAAATGTTCAAGATGTGGAGGGAAGAGATAGGGCGTCAAATGCATAATTTGATCAGCCTTAAATGATAGGCTAATAAAGATAGCTTTCTGCTCTGCAGAAGCCGTCTTTCCAAAATGTGGTCTATCCATACTGTGACAACTGATAAAGTTTTCTGGATAGCCATTAGCTAATAAAACTGAATGTATGTGTCGAAGCTCATCCATCAATATGTCACTCGTGCAAATTTCGCGCACCCTTGAGAACAAACACTCCACTTGAAAATGTTTATACTGGACATGAACATAGTTGGTGAAATGTAGATATCGTCCGCTCCATGTCAGCTTACGGAATATAGATCGCCTAATTGTTCCATTGTTTCTCCTAGTCACTGAAATATCCAAGAATCCGAGAAACGACGAAACAATATCATCTTGTAAAATTTGTCTTCTAAATGCCCTATTCGAATACATACATACATACTTAATTTCTAGATTTTAAATTCAATAGAAATCAAACTGAACTAAGTCTAAAATTTTTATTGTTTATCATTATTCCCTTGGGTTCTGAGTGGAAAATAGAACTCGAGTAGCACATCTCCACCTTGTCGTATTCCCTGCAGTCCTCTTTAGCTGGTCCTACGGTTGCTCGTGATCTCTCATCTTCGCCTCATCACGCGGTCTCCTCCTCAGAACCACACACAATTCAGTGTTTCCCATTCTGTTATCATTTAAGTGCCTGGAGAGTAGTATCACCTGATGGTCTCCTCAGTGTGTGTCCGATCTGTCCTCATTTTCTCCAACATATTTGATGAGCAATAGGTTCTTGTTTGGTTCGTTCCCAAAGCACAAGGTTTAATATAATACTGGATAACTTCTGATTACAAATTAAATAAAACGGTCATGAGGATAAAGTTCTAACAGACTTACGTATTTGTCCTAAACACGTTTTATAAATGGGTTCGAAAGAGATGATGAAGTCAACCTTATGACATGGCTTACAACCGATGTCGTAAATTTATTACTAAGCTGAGTGGAGATGGTATATACTCTGTAGACAAAGCATGGACAGACTGACAGGCCTCCCTTATGTATATAAGTTCATACGTATATTTAAACTGGTCATGGCCATCAGTCACACGCCGTACCGCTTTAAGGTAGAACGTCTTTTACCCTTATGAATTTGCGTTTACCTGCGTATTTAGATTGTTTAGTGGTCAGGTTTTTAAAACCCACTCTAATCCAAAACGTTATAATATTCAATTCCTTATTTGAGGCGGATATAAATTGTAGTTGTAGCATTAAGTTAAGGCAAACTTAAAATCCCCCAGCCTTTCAAATAGCATATAAGATTAAAACTAGACATCAGTAAATTCCATTTCCAAAATATAACTATATCGATAAATCGCGCTCCAGTATACTGTTGAAACTAACTTCTCATTCAGCAGAGTTATGACATTGAGCAAATGACTGTTTATTTTAGAGCAGATTGCTGAAAAATGTCATCTTGAACTGTGTCAATTGGAAAGTGCGAATTGCTATCTAAATCAAATGTATTATCAGTTCACCTAAGTAGCTATAAACAGAAGTCTGATGTTTTGAGCTGATTCAGCATACTGGGCTATACCGAACGTGTTCATCGTTGATAACCTCTGCCTCGAACGAGAAAATTCGACGTCTGGTGTTTAGAGTACCTCGATATGCCTATCAAAGACTAGTGGTTGATGCCAGTGTGAACTACTCATATCAATCAATCAATCAATCAATCATTCAATCAAGCGACAGTATATTCACATTCAGATTTCAGATTTATTGGTTAAGGATAGAAGGCTTGGAGCCTCTGTTAATCCTCTTCTAGTAAATTTCTGTGGTTGTTCAAACCTTTCTTGAATGAATTAGTTAAGGTTGCACACATCACTTCTTCTGGGAGTCGGTTCCAAGTGTTTATGACTCGATGTGAGAACCAGTACTAAACAGTAATATGATTTCTTCTTGGCTTTTGAACTCTCCTGCTATGTCCTCTAAGGTGTTCCCACCTGGTAGCAAGGAAAAGAGTGAATAGGACAAGTCCGAAGTCATTATTTAAAATTTTAAACATTGTGATTAAATCTCCTCTCTGCCTACGGTATGACAGGGAGAAGAGATTTAAACTGTCTAGTCTTCCCTCGTATGATAAGTTAGCTATGCCGTGAACCATTCGTGTTGCCATCCTTTGAACCTTTTCTAGAATGTGTGAATCCCCTTTCAGACAAGGACTGACTGCCTGGATATAGTTT